GTGCTGTCACCTCTCCTTCAGACGGCATAATTATAAGCGAGGCCTGCTCAGGACCAGGACAGGCAGAGTGAGAGACAGAGAGATGACCTGGTCCGGTTATGACTTCGGCTGCGCCGCCACGGTCGACCGGCGAAACCTCTGAAAGGTCGGTAAGCAGCCAGGGCACGTGTCGTCAATAATTTCGACTATCGGTTGCCACGTCATCAAGCAGACACAAATGAAGATCGTTGGATAAGCAATCCACTGTGCAGCCTCGACGCGTGAGTGAACCTGCATTTCATTGGGACGGCAGGCTGATCAGAGTAGATGTCAGAAACACTCTCCGCCGTCTCCCTGTGGTCAAATGCATAACTCCACGATTTTTTGGCTTAAATGCAACCGGAATTCCGGTGCTTTTCGGTAATTATTAAGTTTAGGGACTTCTGATTTTGATTTTGATTGTCCAGCCTCGCATTTGGTCGTTTAGACCGTTGCTGGGTGCATTTTAGTCGATTCTCCTGCACCTAACGGAACTCTACCTTACCTGTAAACGTATACACTCTGCTTATGTATAAACTGGTTCTCAGATAGACGCATTTAGGTCTGAGTCAAAAAATAGCTCCCAGGACAAAATCCGCTGAAGTCCACGAAATTAACCCGAAAGATTAAGCACTTGAGCACATGGTCCTGCAGGCTTACTGGCGATTTTGCTCATTTGGTCAGTTTTTATTTCGTCCTCAGATGTACACACTTGCGCCCAGTCTTATTTTTCCCAAGGACTCTGAATAAGTAAAATGGACAAAGGTTTTCCTGATCATAGAACCCCAAACAAATATTAGGCCCAAAATTCACCATTCAAGACACGTAAAAATAAGACTGTCAATGGCATTTTATCCTCCATTTTCAACACAGTGAGACAATCAGGGCTGAGTAACCTGAGGATGAAAAAGAAACAAATGAAGTAGTTCATCGCTTTTTCCTCTCCGATGTAGGCATTCACTGTTTCAAAACTAAACATCCCGGAGCCAAATTCAAAAATTTTAATCGACTCCCTGAATATATTTGTCCGACGATAATACAAATGAGACCATAGTCGTTCTCTAAGTCATTGCATCTCTTCCATGCTAGCCCCAAAAATATTGATCAGATAGAAGCCGTTGCTTAAGTAGAACTTTTTCCCTCGCTCTGACGCTCATGTAAATTTGACTCTTCCTAGTGAAAAACTATGATGAAAAGTACCTCATGCCGTAAGAATCCACAATTTGGAGGATATATATTCAAAGTCAGCCAGCCAGTTGAATATAAAATTCGTACTTTCATACTTTTGGAAACTTGTGATGGGATATACGCGTATTGCAGTATACCCAGGTTCTTGCTGCCGCCCAGCAATGATGTGGGTTTATTCAGGTGTGTTGAAATGCTCCATGATTCACGGGCCTTTGTTGAAATCAGTTTAACATAAAATTGCAAATGTGCCCGTAAAAGCATTTCTGCACTTCGGTTGTAGGGTCTAGTCTTGTTGAAAATAATGTTGTTGACTCTATCAAGTCTCATGTGTGGCAGATAAAATAAGTCCCCATATAATGCTGTGACAAGCAGGACGATTAGTCATTCCTGTAAGAGGCAACGGCCCAGTCAAACGTCGGGATCACAGACGAGCCCTCGATGAGATCGAATTCGTTTACTGTCGTCTGGTCGGCCCTTGGATAAAGGCCTTCAGCATGCTTCGAGAATTCATTAATAGACTTTAGAGCGCTTGAAGGCGTAAGTCAGCTTGTTTGCCTAGACTTATACTGAAGAACATATTTGAGGACAATTCTGAATATGTCAGGTGATTTCTAATTACGTAGGAATGCGTGGGTTGCAAAAAGCCCTTTTGTCGTCGAAAGGAGTTATTGACAGGGACAGTGGAATACCAGTGGCCTGTCTAGCTAAATATCTTAAAGTCTGGGAGGGAAATTAAAGGTTCGGCCTGGAATCAGTTGCGTTCGTTCTAGCCGAAACATCTTACTTTAAACCCCGAACTGCGACTAAGCATTACATACATTATATTTCTTCACCAGTTTTCCAATCGGAGCCTCCGAAGGCCCCAAAAAATAACTGCCTTATTAGGGGGTCTGAGCTAATTGTCCGTTGGGTTTGCTAAGTTGTATAACCTGTCAGCATGGACCCCATACTCTGAGGAGTAATCCAGATAAAATGACGTCAGCACCTGCTTGTGACTGATTCCTGTGTAATAGAAAATTTGCGCAGAAAATCTACACTGTATCTGCCTTTACAAGGAGGGGATGTGGAATTCTTTGCTGATCGACTCCGGGTATTTAAGGCTACTGACCTTGCAAATGACCGGACCCTGCAGGGTGGGCTTTAGACTTAGTCTTGGATTTGGGCCAGCAAAAGACCGGCTTTCCCTGAATGTCGCTGTGTATGAACGGATGCGGGGGAGATTTTTTTTAACTTAATCCTCTTTATTTCACGGACAAAGTAGGTCTAGGGGACATTGTTCGAAATCCACCCCGGATTGCCTTTCAAAAATAGCGGAGGTCCTGTCAAAATACTTTTGGACAACAAATGTGCAGGCGACTAGGCAAGACTACTTAACTGAATGAGGCTGCCATAAGGCAAGAAGAACGTCAATAGACACTGGAACTTTCTAATACTACGCCTCTCGACTCTTATTGTCTTCAAAGTTGTCTTTTAGTATTGCTTTAGAAATGTCATAATATTACGATTTCACTCTGAGGCTTCAAGCGCTATTGTTATGTATGTAAAACAGAAGGTCAATTGGAAATAGGACGTGTACTGAGTACGATAGACAGCACAAGTGAGGAGGATTGCGGAAACGGCCGGGTATATGGCAAGGGGAACTGTCATAGGCTGATGGATGGCCAATCAGCACAAATAAGGTGTGAACAGGGGTCATGACCTTGATCGTTCGCTTGTCACGCGTTTGCGGCATGATGTCCTGACGGACCGGGTACGATACGCTGCAGCTATTGTAGCGGCCGAGGACGTCAAGGGTAGCATACAACTACGTAGCGAAGTACCGGAAAGAGATCCTGGCTAACGTTGGTCTGAATACGATTGTTAGTAGTTCACGATACTCATCCCTACATGAAGGAAGAAGAAGCGGCAAGTGGGCGAGAAGATATAATGAACAGAAAAGGGAATTGGAAAGGCGT